CTCCCCCGCCGCTCGCCCGGCCACGACTTTGACGTGGCCCCTCCTCCCTCTCCTCCTCCTCCTCCACCTCCTGGGGCTGGATGACGCCGCTACTTTTCGCACGTGGAAATGGCCTCCTCCTCCAACCGCTCCGGGGTCTCGTCATCTATCTCTCTCTGTCTATCTCCCGCAGCATCCGCCGGGCGCCCCGCTCCCTCTCGCACCTCCCCGGACCGGGATGCTGGATTAATGGATTGGAAGGGAGCCCGGCGCCAGCCGTCGGGTCGCTACTAAAAGCCCTCGCCGGCGTAGAGCGTCGCCCGGGCTGGGAGCAGCGGCGTAACCGGGCGTGGCGGCGCCCCTCAGAGCTCAGCACGCAACTAGTTGAGGGACCATTCCGTCTCAGTAAAGTCACATGTACCTCACCTGTACTTGGGGATCATTTCCCGTTCGTCATTTGTCGTCAAGTCAAGCGTCGAGTTCAGCCAACGCAGCAAGCTTCCTCACAATAGCGCCTGGTGGGTAGGCAACATCTCGCCTGCAGTGCATGCGTGTACTGCGGGGTGGCCTACCTCGAGTCTCGCAGGCGTCGAGCTCCCCCGTAATTTTACTAAATGAAATCTGCTGAGAAAAAACCGATGTACTTTCTGAACGATTCCATAGACATAGTCCTGCATGTGCGTCCGTGTGTTTCTCGGAATCATTATTCGGGAAATTCCGCAATCTCGGCGCCTGCGGGACTCGAGGTAGGCCACCCCGCAGTACACGCATACACTGCAGTCAAGAAATTGTCTACCTACCAGGCGCTTTGAGAGCTTGCAGGGGCGCCTGGAATTGGCAGGTTCGTAACCGTGAACGGCGGGCGTACTTTCTAGATGATCCCATATCTATTGTTTATTTGGTAACTTTGGAAGTGCAGTATTTTCTGCGAGCTTTTTGGTCTCGGGAGTCGACGCCAGCGGGCGGCCATGTGGCGGCGTCGCCCGGGCAAACTGCCCTCCTCATCTCATCCCAAGAGGCTGGCTGGCTAACCGTTCTAGGAAGACGCACGGTGCAACCCGCAAGCGATTTGATTGCGCCGTCTCTCTCGCACGCTCTGCAGCTGCGGCAGCGAGTGCGGCAGCGAGTGCGGCAGCCCCCCGTTGACAGAGCGCATGGGATGGGTGTTTAGCGGCGCGCATGGGAGGCCCCTGGCGCCGCGCTGCACTCGTTCTGTTCCGTTCCCGTTATGGGAGCCAAATAACCGAAGCGGCAGAGAGCTAAGCGCGCCGTCAGAGTGGTATACTGCCCGGGGGTCTCTGGTGGTGCCCCGGCGCAGCCCCGGCCCGGAGTAGAGAGCGAGGCCCCGGCCCTGCCCGGGACCGCCCGCGGCCACACCGCACGGCCCACTACTACACGATGCAATGCCTGTGTATAGGCGAGGAGGAGGATTTTTATAGTGATGGTTTTCGGGAGTGTATCGGACGAGCTAGCCGATGGCCGAACCCCATGTAGCACACCGGGGCCGAGCAGGGGCAGCACGTCGAGTTGAGCCAAACGATGGGAAAAGAAAAGTTAAGGCAGAAACAAACATTTTATAAAGAAGTGGCACTTTGTATTTGAGGAAAATAAGAAAAACAACTGGACAATTTGGAAACTTTATTTTCGGAAGAATTTTGCTCTTTAGACTTGCTGTTGTACCGAAGGTGATCGTTCAATGGACTAACGCTTGCTCTCTTGCCTGTTCACAGCTGCACCTCCCAGTACGTCGGCGAGTACTGCCAGCACCTGAACCCCTGCCACACGGGCCCCGGACCACGCTGTCAGAACGGGGGCTCGTGCCATGTGAGGTCGTCGCCGCAGGCGTCCTTCTGGTGCGAGTGCCCCGTCGGCTTCACCGCCTCCCTCTGCGAGATCAAGCTCGAGAACGCCTGCGACTCGTCGCCATGCCAGCACGCCGGCACCTGCCAGCTGTCCTCGCTGCACGAATACACCTGCAGCTGCGCCCTCGGCTACGCCGGTACGTATCGTCGAAACGCTGGAAACCCAAAATTGTCTCACGGATGAAGCGTAATACGTGAAACTTACTCTTCTGTGGCACTTTTACTTAGTCGTGTTGTTGTTGTTGTTGCCCCCCAGGTCGGCACTGCGAGCGCCAGGACTATTGCGCCAGCTCGCCATGCAAGAACGGCGCCGACTGCACGTCCCTCGAGTCGACGTACAAGTGCTCGTGCGCGCCGGGCTTCCGGGGCGCCACATGCAGCGAGGACATCGTCGAGTGCCTGTCGGCGCCCTGCGTGCACGGCAAATGCTTCAACACGCACGGCTCGTACACGTGAGTACTCTAACCAGTGATTTATGTTTGAATTTTCTTTGGTGTAGTTGCGGGGGTGGGGCGGGGGGGCGGGGTGGGGTGGACCCTGAACTTGGCGGCGCCGTGTCCTGTGTGTTGGTGGACCGGACCTTGGCAGCTGGCCATCCCGTGTTGTGATACAGCAGCAGCCGCGGCAGCTGCAGCAGCAGCAGCAGCGCGGGGCGCCCCGTGGGGAGGGTACACCGGGTAGTACCTCGGGCAGACAGTGTAGGGGGTGTCGGGTGTCACCGGCTTGTACCCGCCGGGACCTAGCGGGGGGCCGCGCGCTCCGGCTAGTTCACCTCGGCGACCACCATGCCTCAAACATGATCCTACCCCTCTGTCTTGCTCGCTACCTACGGCGCCTCGCTCGCTCCTGTTCTTGCCCCCTACCTCGTCTTGCACGCCCCTGTCCGTGTCTCCTACCTCGTCTTGCCCACTCCTGTCCGTGTCTCTTACCTCGTCTGGCTCGCTCATGCCCGTGTCTCTTACCTCGTCTTGCTCACTCCTGTCCGTGGCTCCTACCTCGTCTTGCACGCTCTTGTCCGTGTCTCCTTCCTCGTCTGGCTCGCTCCTTGGCTCACTGGACTCACGTCAGCGGAATCCAAAGCCGCGGACGCGGCCGGCCAGTGTGGTTGGTGGCGCGCCGTGGGCAGGGCGGGGCTATTTCGATGAGCCTCTTCCAGGACTGCAGCCTAAGCGGCAGGCCCGTCCGGAAACAAGCAACAGAAGGCAGAAGGTTTTCCGTGTCATCGTAACTCGACCGCTTCCCCGCTCTGTCCGCGACGCGGTCGATCTGAATGGCTCTTGTTGACGTCATTGTCTTCCATACCTTTTATAAAACTTTTAACGCTTTCAATATTTCACAAACAAAATGATAAAAGTTTACTTTGAGTTGAGTCGAGTCGAGTCCCGCGCCGGTCGCGAGGAGTGAAGATGTCCGTCTGGTTTAATCGCCCCGCGATGATATTCTTATTCCGAGAAGGGCAATGGAGAGGCGCTGCGGCGTCCGGAAAATCAGGTTCTCTTCTTGGCCGACGAAAAAATTAAAAAACGAAGCGAACGCGGGCAAAAGGCAACTCCAAAATAAAAACCGCGCACATCTAAAAGGTGTGAACTTTACGCCCCTCATTTATGCGCGACACCGGGCCGCGCCGAGTACACTGTTGGGAATGATAATGTGCTGATAGTGATCGAGGATGGGGGGGGGGGAGGGGGGCGTAAATCTGTCACCCGTCGCAAGCGGATTAGAGTCGAAGTCAAAACGAGCAAAAAGAACACGGCCCGCCAACCAAACACAGCAGCGGGCAGGCCACAATAAAGTACGGGATCCGGCCGCCGCTCCCCGGCGCGCTCTGCGTGCGGCCCAAGCGGCCCCTGCTGCTGCTGACCTATGTGATTTGTCCGTTACTCCGTGTGCGAGTGCGCTCATCGAGCTCCTCTATATCTCCCTCTCTTTTTCTCTGTTCGACAGGTGCATGTGCGACCCCGGCTACACCGGCAAGGACTGCGAGAGCGCCTACATCCCCTGCAGCCCGTCGCCGTGCCAGAACGGCGGCACCTGCAAGCAGCTCGACTCGCTCAGCTACGTCTGCGCGTGCCCTAAAGGTGAGTACTTTGCATGCACACGCGATTCCGTCGTGAGTTCCGCGGACTCTTGGCGAATTTTCTTTTTTTTTTTCCCCGCCGCCATCCTCGCTTTTACCGCCGCCGTCGACCCCTCTGGGGTCCGCGATGACGGCGGCCGGCACCGGCTCCGGCGGCACGTGAAGTCGTCAAGTTGATGAGGGCCGCGGCCGGGGTGCTCCGCGCCGAGCTCCGCGCCGAGCTCTGAGGTACTCTAGGACGGGAGGGTCCATTCCAAACCTGTTCCCCCGTAAGTTGAGCCCCTGAACTCGAGTTACAGCCGCGTCGGCCCGGCCCGGCCCGACCTGGCCAGGCACTAAAGTACCCACCCGGCGGGCGTTGCGGATGCGGAGGGTCCTGGCTGGCGACATCGGCCTCCTCTCGACGCCGACCTGCTCCCCATAACGACCCCCTGTGCCGTCCGTTTCCCATACGCGCTGCTGCTGCTGCTGCTGCCGCTGTTCGAATCTCCCGTCACGTCAGCGCGCTGGGTACCGAGTACGTAGTGTAACCGCCGCGGCCCGCCCCGCCCCGCCCTGTCCTTTTGCGGAGCGGGCCCCTGCAGGCCGGCCGCTGGAGAATGTGACGAGCGCACGCTCCATAGTCCGGATTTGGTAGGCAGACACCGGCCGTCGAAGCCGCCGGGCGGGGCGGGGCCCGCCGTCTGAGGGCGGCGACAGCTCAAAGTGTCCGGGGAGGCGAGGGTGAGGGTCGGAGTCGGGCGGCGGCGTCGGAGTGTGCGTCGGCGCGTCGCGTCGTCCGCTGCAATTAGCCAGGAGATTGGTCTGCGGCTCCCGGGAAGCTGAGCTGGAGCCGGCTGCAGCCTCCTCGGGGACAGACACACGGCACCGCAGTGCAGGATGGGAACGCCCGGCCCGGCCGCAGGAATCACTTACATCAGCGACGACCCCGCCGCCGCAGCAGGCCGGGGACGGGGGGCCGATGCCGGGCAGACAGCCCGCCCAACACCGGTGCGCTGGAGCCGACAAGTTGCCTACCTGACGGCGCCCGGGCGGTCGTAGGCCATCCGCCCAACACCGGTGCGCTGGAGCCGACAAGTTGCCTACCTGGGGCCCGGGCGGTCGGATAGGCCACCCGCCCTGCACCGGTGCGCTGAAGCCGACAAGTTGCCTACCCAACAGGCGTGCTGCGTTCTGGTAGGCAGCCCGCCCAACAGTAGTGCGCTGCCGCCCACAAGTTGCCTACATAACGGCGCTCGGGCAGGTCACCCGTCCATTTCTGATGCGCTTCGTTGCAGCATGTGGCCTGCACTGCAGGCGGAGGACACCACCACCGCCTTCCAGCTAAAATAAGGAGGGGAAAACAGGAATCTCTTCGGCGGCACACACGGCAAAATCGTCGAAGGGATAGGAGGTTTGTGGTGGGCGGCGGTGGCATTCCGGGGGTTACTCCCCCCCCCCCTTCCTCCTTTCCCCTGCCTGCTAAGGAGGCTGGCTGGCCCCGAGCAAATATGCCGAGTGGGGAAGGCGTCCTCCTATCGCAGAGGGCCCTGCCGCTGCACTCTCGGGGCCACGGTGGTGTGCGCCGTGCCAGAATCCCTCCCTCCCCCCTTCTTCCTCCCGTTTCTTTGCGGTGTATCGCGTGCTGCATTATAACGAGCCTCCCCCTTCCCTTCTCCCTTCCCCTTTGCTGTGCAGCATCAAGTGTGTCGCCATCCTTCCCAGGCGGAGAGCAGGGCCGTGCGGCAGGGCGGGAGGGCACTGCGCTCGCTGGCTGCATGGGACTGCACGCCGCCGGTCTGGGGAGAACGAGAGAGGGAGAGGGGGGTGGGGGTAGATTGGGGGAAAGGAAGAGCCGAGAGGGGACGTCCGCAAACTGTCGTCACTTCCGTGCATTTGCTCAGAAGATTTAAAATGTATCACTCTGCCTACCCAAATCACCCTGGTCAACTCGAGCTTGATAAATAGAACTGCTTTTATATCCAGACTGTAGCTGCTCTCTCCACCTTCCTCGCGTAGGCAGAGAGAGGACGGCCTACAGGGAGGCCCGGCGTGCGCCCCCCTGCCCCCCCCCTCGCTCTATCCCCTTTGGGTTTTTATCGCGCGGCTCCGAGCACGACGCCTGCGCGTATATGCAAATGGAACGGAACAGTAACTCGCTGGAAAAGGATTCGGCCGCGACGAGGCGAGGGGCTAAGCGGCGCTGGGGCGCGCGGCGGGAAGCGGGAGAGCGGGGGGTTTGCTTTGCTTTATCGCTGTCTCTCCTTCTCTCTCCTTCTCTCTCTCTCTCTCTCCTTGTAGAAGAGGGGTAGGCACGCCCGCCGAACGCGCGGGTAAAGCCGCCGTGGGCTGCGGCGTGGAGCCTGCTGAAAGAAACTCTCATGCTGCTTCCTACCTACTCGGACGTGCTCGGACGTGGGACCCAGGCGATGCTATCGGCAGGGCGTGGCGGGGCGTGGCGGCCCGAGCCTTGTCTCTCTCCGATATGATGACGGTCCCGATCAGAGTGTGGGCCCAGCCCAGAGGCTGGCCCTGCCCCGCCCGGGGCGTGCCGGAGCAGACCCGTGCTGAGCTGCAGTCAGTGTTGCCCGCCCGCCGCCCCCTCAGCTCCAGGATGACGCCTGCGCTTTACCGGAGAAACCTTACCTCCTCGCCTTCCCTCACAGTGAGTGTTGCAGCCCCGCGCCGCGGTCACACACCCCTCTCGCCGGACCCGGGCCGCCCCCTAAAGTAGTGCAAGTCACCCACCGGACCGCGGCGGCCGCGGCGGCGCGAGAGTGGAGTGGCGTCGTGACAGGAATATGCAGATCGGGCGGCGCGGCGCGGCTCCCTGCCGGAGCGGCGAGCTGACCCGACCCCGCGGGCCAGGGCAGCCAGCGCCGCGGCGCGAGGTGGCGGAGGTGCCGCGGAAGGGAATGGGAGATGGCCGCCCCGGATAGTGCGGGACCTCCACCCCCTCCCCCCTCCTCTCTCTCTCTCTCTCTCTCTCTCTCTCTCTCTCTCTCTCTCTCTCTTTCTCTCTCTTCCTCGCGCTGCAGGGGGACCAGGGCGCATTCTCCTCCCGGCCGATGACGGCGCGGTGCGTTCCTAGAAGGCCGTGGTCGGGGAGGGTCGGGGCCCCCCGCTATGCGGCCCGGCGGCGGCGGCGGCGCGGCCGAGTCATCGCCGTGAAATTATTACGCGGCGCGATTATTCGAGATATCGAGATGTGCGCGGGGGGCGGTGGCGGGCCGTGCGCGATCGATTCAAACGAGGCTCTGGGAAACGATAGATTCGGATCGGGGCGGCGGCGGCGCTGGGCGGCACTGCCGTTGTGTACGCATTCGGCGGCCTTGTGTGAGGAAATGTGATTGAGTTTGACAAATGCGCGCCGCTGCTGCCGCTTGTGGGATCGCTCACGACCGAGACGTGCGTCCAAGTCTCCGGCGAGCTCTCTCGGCCTGTGCGCCGCTCTGTGCGCCCTCGAGAGCGAGTTCTGACCCGGCCGACCCGGACCCGTCCCCGCGCTGCTGGCCGCCCCCGGGCACCTCCGGGGCGGGGCCGATTCACGGAACATTCCGCGTGTTTCTGCTACTGATTCGAAGAGCAGATTGCACCTCCATCGATTCAATCCATTTTATATATTTTCCGCTGCCAAGTCCCCCACCCCCCTCCCCGCCTCCTCTTTCCATTCATTTTTGTTTTAAAGTATGCTTCCCTTTTTTGCCCCGAGCCCTCGTTTACTTTCCCCATCGTGCTGGACGCGTCGCCTCTTTTGACGGATTGATCTATTCGCCGAGTCCGCTGGCTGCCCTGGCGCGCTGGCGCGTACGTCATTTTCCCTTCCATCCGTCAGCGCGCTGCAGCGGGCGTGTGTCATCTCTCGCGCGGACATGTTCGCCGGCGGCCAGCCCAGCCCGGCCAGCGCGACCAGTCGGACCAAACCATTTATCTTCCTCTTTTTATCATCCGCCTCCGTCTGTGTTTTTAGCGGGTTTTTTTACCGTCCATCTCTCTCTCTCCCTCTTTCTTTATCCCCGTCCCTCTCTCTTGCATGCCGGGTTTTCGTCGCCAGTTTCCTTCGGGACGAATAGCGCGGCGCGGCACCGCGAAGCAGAGAAGGAAGGGAGCGAGAGGTTAAGGAGAGGGTCGTTACGACCGTGACGCTCTCCCTCTCGCTCGCTCTCTCTCACACACACACACACGTCGGCCGGGCAAAACCAGGCTCGGCAAATCGTGATGCCTTCGATGTTCCGCCTCCTCCAAATGTTGCCCATAATTCCGGCGGCCTGGCCTGGTCCGGGCTCCACCGGCCGCACAAGTCAGCCCGAGTGCGCAGCTCATGGCGCAGCGCTGACGGCGACCAGGGCCTCGAGGGTGAGGGAGTGCTGGCGGCACGGCCCTCGGGACGCGGGCCCGCGGCCTTAACGGATATCAGACAGACATGAGGAGAGAGAAAGAGAAACAGAGTTTAAGTATTTCTCTTCCCTCCCCCTTTCCTCGCTCATACGCCTGAATAGGCCTCGTGGCAGGTCATAACTAACGAGTAACAAGCGTGCGGAGCAGTCACCCCGCCCAGCGCGCCCGCTGCAGTCAGTTGCATTTTTTTTGCAGCTGCTGCTGCTGCAGCCAGCGGCTGTTGTAGGTAGAGGTGCTCCGCCAAGGGGGGGCGTGGCGGCGGCGAGGCTCGCGGCTCGCATGCGCTCGAGGGAGGAGACGAGGTTGCGTGGCCCCGCTTGAACAAGATGGACTGCCGTGTCGACTCGCGCTCGCGGGGCCCCGCCACGCCCCGCCACGCCCCGCCACGCCCCGCCGCGCCCGGAGCGAGTGCCCGGTGTGACAGCTGCAGATGCGGCGGCTGGCGCTCGCTACCCCCCGCGGACGGACAGCTGCAGCTGCGGCGGCCGCTACCCCCGGGGTCGGCGGCGGCCGGCTCGTCCTCTCCTCCCCATTTCGCGACCCTTTTGGCCGGTACTTTCCCTTCGCTCCGCAGTGCTCCGCATCGGGAGGCCTGTCCTGGCGGGGCTCGCTCGGCGCGCTTCTTCCTCCCCCGCGCCCACGCCTGCGCCTTCCCCGATGCCGCTATAACGTGAAATAGGTGAACGTCGCGTCGGCCCCGCGTGATCGTGACTCGGCGGCGACCTGAGCGAGCCGAGCCTTCCCGCGGAGCGTCTTCCCATGTGTGTGCGGGGCGCCGCGTTTGCGTAACCGAGCTGAGAGGCTTCTCATTGCTTGTCGATGTCCACGACGGCGGCGAACCCCCTCATCGTCCGCGACTACCAACTCACGTACTTGCGTGTCTTAATCATCCCGTCTTTGTGTGTTTTCCAGGTTTCCGAGGTCCCAACTGCGAGGAGAACGTGGACGACTGCCCGGGCCATCTGTGCCAGCACGGCGGCGAGTGCGTGGACGGCGTCAACGGCTACACCTGCCGCTGCCCGGCCGCGTACACGGGCGAGCGCTGCGAGCAGGACGTGGACGAGTGCTCGCTGCGCCCGTCCGTCTGCCACAACGGCGCCACCTGCACCAACACGGCCGGCTCCTTCTCCTGCATCTGCGTCAACGGCTGGACCGGGCCCGACTGCTCCGTCAACATCGACGACTGCGCGGGCGCGGCCTGCTTCAACGGCGCCACCTGCATCGACCGCGTCGGCAGCTTCTACTGCCGCTGCACCCCTGGCAAAACTGGTGAGTACTGTAGAAGCGCTGTACACACAGCACTTGCAAAGGTTTGCCCACGAGGTTGCACCATCTGACACGTCTGGACCAAAGTCACCAAAGTCGAGAGGGCCACAACTCAACCAAACTTTCTAAGCAGATTGCACACCTTACATTCGTAATTAACCCAAAATTGAAGTTGTCGAGTTTCTTGAGGCGCACAACTTCGTTCGCGATAATTATCAAAATCTTAAATTTCAGTAATCTGCATTAAAGTGGCACACTTTGTTGGAGGAGTCGTTGCCCCCTCGATCTATAGTGCAGGAGGAAAACAGTTCAGCGCGTCATTCAAAGCACAGAGTACACACTTGCGCATTTCTTTCTCTCTCTTGGTCATCACACGCTTATGATGACGAAGTGTTTGTCACCTTTGTTGGCCCTCATGCCCGTCCTGTCTTCTTTCTTTTCACCCCGCTAAGAACCAGCTGTGTGTGTTGCCCTTTATCATTTCTGCTGTCACACATTTGAGCCCTATCGCGGTGCTTTTTTTTCCCCCGGCCGGCGCGGTTTGGTCGGTTTATCTTTCTTCTTCCGCTCCGGGTCGTGCCCTTTGTGGCGCCGGAAGGAGAGAGAGAGAGAGAGATAGCAGAGGGTATAGGGTTAGGCCCCGGGCGGGAGGGGGAGTGAGAGGGGTAGAGAGGCGGCGGCGCCCAGTCCCGCGGTCGTCCATTTCATTTCATTCCTTGTCGGGGAATCCTTTTGTCTCGCGCCCGCCCGTTAACATTTGGCGCGCCTGCCTGGAGGGCCCTGCCCTCGGCGTCGGCCGCTTGGACACCGTCACGGAGGAGCCGCCCGATGTTTGGACCGGCGCCATACGGGCGTCCGTGAGCAGCGCGAGGCGAGCACGATAACCAAACACACTCACTCACACAGCTCTGGCCACAATGGCGGGGCGGGCGGGAGGGAGGCAAAGGTCGCCCATGATGTGTAGCGCTTCGTGGTGCGGGCGGGCCGGGCCGGGCGCCGGCGTGCCTGCGCGGTTAGTTAGTTAGGCCCTTCGCGTTGGAAATGTGAGACGGACGGACGGCCGCGAATTTGATAAGGTGAGAGAGAGGTATGCCGGGTCGGGTGAGGGAGGCCATCCCACGGACGGCTGTAGTTGTTGCTGCTGCTGAGCCCGCCGCCCCCATGGCCCATGGCATGTCCCCTCGCCATGAGCCGCCGTCGTCCACCACCCCATGGCTGGCCGTGGCGCAAGCGGGAGAGAGACGCACGCGTGTGCGACAGAGAGAGTGACAACCGCGTAAGCAGCCAGCAGCCTCGACATATTTTAGAACCGGGTCGGCCGTGTGCATGTTGTACGTATCACTACTTAAACACGGGGCTCATCTGCGCCACGCAATCAGAGACCCGCGGCCGAGCAAATGTCGTCGAAACGACTAACTCCCGCCAAAATGTTTAGTTTTTCTCCATCTCTCGGCCTTTCTTTCTCTCTCGCTCCACGGCGGCGCAGGGCCCGGTCGGCCGGTCGATCAGGAGGGACGCTGGTATCGGCTCGCGATAGCGCCCCACCACGCGACGCCACCGCATTGTGTGCAAAGCAGCGCCCCCTGCGCAACCAGACTCCGGCCGCTCCAGCCCGCAGCCTCCGGGCAGCCTTCGGATAGCCTTCGGGCAGCCTTCGGATAGCCTGCGGGCAGCCTTCGGATAGCCTTCGGGCAGCCTTCGGGTAGCCTCTGGGCAGCCATGGGAGCCGCGGGGACCCGCTGGGCTGGGCTTACGTTTTTCGCGATGATTGGGCAACATACTGATCAGTTTCTGTTTTGTCTCTCTTTCCCACAGGTTTGCTGTGCCATCTGGATGACGCGTGCACGTCCAACCCCTGCCACGCGGACGCCATCTGCGACACGTCCCCGATCAACGGCTCGTACACCTGCAGCTGCGCCTCGGGCTACCGCGGCGTCGACTGCTCCGAGGACATCAACGAGTGCGAGCAAGGTGAGTCTGAACTGACTAGGGTGCGGAGCAAGGAGCAGGCTGATCCGAGAGGAGGCGCGCTCGCTCACGTAACTCCAGCAGCAGCTCGCTGGAGCTGGAGGACGGCGGAAGAGCAGCGGCGGCGGCTCCAGCGGCACAGCCCCGCCCCAGCTCCATGCCGACCGCTCAGCTGACATTTACTCGCGTTTTTAATTTAAAGGCAGCCTAGCAGCGTCGAGCGGCGCGGCCATCGTGCTGCTGCTGCGGCCGGCCTGGCCAGGATGCGGTGTACGTACTCTGCGTAGCGCCGCGCAGCACCGCTTGTCGCTGCGGGTAGGGCTCGGAGGGGCCTTATTGGGGCATTTTTGTGGTCGCTCGCTTGTAGGAGAGAGGGGGAAAAACAAAAACTAAAACCCAGAGATGGGGGACCGTTGTTGGTTAGCTGCTGCTGCTCCTGCTCCTGGGCGCTGCCGCTGCTGGGCTCGGCCGTTCACATGGGGCCTCGATGGTGCACGTACCTGGAGGTTGGTTAAACACTATGCGGGTACTGTTTCCAAGCTCTCGGGCGCAGCGGTGGCAGCAGCAGCAGCTGCGGTGGGGGGTTTAAAAGTCCGCTGCCCGCATCGCGAGTTTACTGGGGAGAGGAGCGCTCCATGCCTCCTTGGCCGCCTTGGCTGTTCGGTGGCAGCGGGGATAAAAATTTGCGGTGGTCGGCTGTAACACCGATTTACGAGAGGCGCCCCTCCTTTGGCTTCGTGATTGGTTTCGAGCAATGAACACCCGGCTCGGCTACGCCGCTCTACGCGGGCGTGGCGCACCGGTGCGGTACGCACCCGCGGAGTGTGTAGTTCAGTTGCACGCACACGGTGGGTCGCGACAGGGTCCCCGCAGCACCGCACAATGGGGGGCGTTGTGCGTTGTGCGGCAGCAGGGAGGCTCCGAGGGTTCCGAGGAGGGCGGGCCGACACTCACGGGTACTTTGAGCGGAGCTTTGAGTCACTACCACCTCAAGACAAAAGCCCACCTATTTTCGCAACACTCTCTCCAGAGGGAGGGAGGTAAAGGAAAAGGAAACTGCAGTTTCATGCATGCCCGAAATAAGGCCCGTCGATTTAACTCTCTTTATCTGATTGCGTTCAGAAGCAGTTTCAGTAACTACTTCATTTTATATTTTTTGGCCGGTGTGCTTGTGTGCCGCGGCCGCGCGGGCACGCCCTGACTACTATTTGAGGACGAGCAGGACGATTGACGTCTAAGCGCGCCGGCCAATATAAGGTGTATTGTGCGCGAAAATTTAGGACCGCTCGAGGGGGGAGGGAGGGGGAAGCTTATTGAGGTTTGAGGCCGCCGCGGGGACACGTCCCATCAAACTGTTTGAATGGCGAGTGGCGGTACAGCCGCGCCCAGCAGCAGCAGCAGCAGCGCATGTGAGCGGCCCTGTGTGTCGAGTGTGTACAGTATGGGAGCGAGCGGCCCGGCCCGGCCTATGGGATGGACCTCATGATGGGCAGTGTCCAGCACATGGGCCGCGCAGGCCATATCCCTCCCCTCTGTCTGTACGTGTGTATTTAACACCAGCGAGCGTGTATGTGTGTGTGTGTGTGCGTGTGTGTGTGGGAAAGCAACCTGTCGCCTCTCGCACGGGCTGCAAAGCACGTCCGAGTGCACGCCCCGCGCTCTCGGCCGCGCCCCGACCACGATGACGACGACGACGACGGGAAGGTCCTACATGTCCTCTTCACTCGTCGCGCTGGCTATGGGGCTGGGCTGGGCACATCTCTCGCTCTCACTCGCTCGCTCTCTCTCTCGCTCGCTCGCTCTCCGTCCCGTCCGTCATTCCATTGTGTGGCGCGAGTGTCATCCTGTATGTGTCCGCTGCGCCCCGCGACACACACACACTCACACACACACACACTCGCGGTCATATGTCGCCCGCGGGGGGAAACAACATGTTGGAGACGCCTTTTATTTTTCTTTCGTCTTTTCTTCTCGTGCCGAGAGGAGTCGAGGAGGCCGGGCCGGAGGGGTCATTGGGTTCTCATCGCGTCACGCCACGCCCCGGGCGCGGCCGCGGCGACTCCTTTTTACACAAAGTCTTTGGCTCCGCTCGCTGGTCCCGTCGCGTCTCGTCCTGTAAAGGCGACGACGCCCGGCCGGTGCAACATCGAGAGGCAGCGCCGGTCAATAAGCCGCGGACAAGGCGGCGGCGGCGGCGGCGAGGCTCTGAGGACAGCGCGCCGCGGCGCATTCGCCATTTTTGGCGAGGGAGTGCAATTGCATGGGGCGGGGCCGGGCGGGGCTCACCGACTGCATTCCGGTGCATCACCCCCGCCCCGCCGGCCGGCCGAATCTGTACACTCCTTCTCCACCTCTCCTCCTTCCCTCCCTCTCCTCCTCAGTGGCCTTCTTTACTCGAACGAGAGGCATGTGAGATGGTTTTTGGAGAGAGGACGGTGTGGTTCGAGAGGAGGAGGAGAGGGGAGGGGGGGGGAGTTTTGCACGGAGAGGATCCCCTCCGCGCCCTGGCTAATGCAAGTCGCCCCCCCCCCTCATCTCCTCTCCTCCTCCTTAGGGGCCTAACCACTCGAGCCAGCCAGGCCAGGGCGTTCCAGGCAGCGAGTATACGTGGTCGTTGGCTGCTTCCTTGGCTTTTAAAGAGGGGATTAAAAGTCAAGCAGCCCGGTCGGTGTGGTGGTAGTGCCGGGCGGGGCGGGGCGGCGGGGCGGGAGCATGCGAACCGGGCTAGTTTAAATTCCCGCTCGCCCGTTACGGGGGCAAGCCC